TTTTTTGTCCTACCTTCTAGTGCTACATCCCTTTGTCTCAACCCTAATTCACATGGCCGATTTACCTATTCAGACCATTCCATGCTCATGTTTCCTTCAATATCGCCTGTGAGTGTGCCACATTAAGACAATTTATTGGAGAATAACCATCTTCACCACCTGTTTCAGATGTCGTTGGCAGGGCTTCACGGTCACGGTGTTTAACTTTGATATAATTTAATAGGATTTTGCCAATAGCACTAAACTAATTTGAATTGATTTTTATTTTTTATTAGAGTTTCGAGATTACCAGTATACATTTCGTATAATTCTAATTGAGTCTAGTTTGCGACTCATGCCATCTTTCAAGAATTTAGCTAAACCGGTTTAAGCCATCATAAACTTAGTTATATATTTGCATGGTCAAAAACAGTATGTCCATCATAGTTACGCTTAGTATAAAGGTTGTAATAGTAGGGATCTTAGTAGTTTATAGAGAAATTCGTTTCTATAAATTGTAGAATGAGGCAGATACAACCTGGGTTATGCGCCCAGACAAAACTAACCTACAAAATGATGATTATAGAGCCATTAGATCAATTATGATTGCAATTTTTATTCATAAAAACTAAAGAAATGGCCATTCATTGCTCCTGGAAAAATGCAAAAGAATTCTCATGGACATACTGACCTTATACGACGCCGAATGAATGAAATTTTGGGTCAGTTGTCGCTGACAAAGTCGCAACCTCGTGGGGCCAACAACTCGCATGCTGAAAACCAGTCAATCATGCCATCACTGGGTATCTTGTGCGTCAATTTAAACGAGGCTCTGGTGCAGGCCCAAGAGTTCCACGCACAGATTATGGAGGCCCTGAAGAGCAGAGAGGCTCCTTCGCCAAAGGTGGTTACTCCGAATAAAGAGTTGTCTACATATCGGCTAATTGAATTACCACCAGCCCAACTGGCTCGTCTTCTGCCGCCTGGACAACGGCTGGCCAAAACTGGTGCCAAAAAAAGG